AAGAGAGATAGAAAAAGTACAATGATTTATATATACATATATATATATATATATATATATAAGATATGTATATATACTCGCTCTATATATATAATTCCATTGTCAAGTTAACGTCGTTAAAGCCCTTTTAACTTGAAGAGGGGAAGGTCGGTGTTATTTTTGAAACTATAAGAGAGGTCTTTGCAATTAAGATAAATCTCAGGAAAGATCAGTGTAATTTACATAAAAATATTTATTCATAAGTGAAAATTTTCATTACAATAGGAAAATAAAAATGTTTGGTGGAGAAAAAGAAGAAAAAGTGAGATTGAAAGACGAAGACAGACATTAGAGAGATGATTGTACTTCAGTGACCATTTTTGTTTAGATCTGACGGAATCTGATGTCGATCTAATCAGATCTGGTCTAAATTTGACAGACAACGATGATGATGAAGCTCCAATCAACAATGGAAAACAGAGAAAGACGAGGTAAGTGTAAGAGGACACAAAGAAGGGTTTGATGACGGTAAAGAAAGTGAGGGCGAAGTTGATGAGGCAGAGGAGCGGCTACGACAAACTATTGATGGTTGCTAAACACCAATTGATGGTGGTCAATTGTTGCTAGTTAGTTTTCATATCAAAAAGAGAAAGAGAAGAAGGAATGAGTTTTTACATGCAAAAAGACTTTTTGATCTTTACAAACACTGAGATTTAATGATGCACAAGTCCTCATCACAGGGCTTGTGAGTAATTAACCGATATATATAGTACATTCTATGCGACCTCCTTATGTTAATTCAGCAAAAACGTTTAATCACCATCTGAACGATCAAACAACAATTCCATGTAGAGTAACACACCCAGCATTACAGAACTACTGTGAAATGATATACTTAAAAGTGACTTGCACAATCCACCCGCGCAATAATTTAATCCAAGTTAGCAATAACTACAGCAATGCAGTAAAAATATAAAGAGTTCAAAACCATCATCTACCAGCAGTAGTTTACTTGGACCAAATCACCAATAACACCCTCAATCCACTGAATACAATGAGACAGTTATTAGATAATTGGTTTCATAGCAATATGATTTTTCTAGTGTTCATAATAAAGTGTTGCATCTATGCTTGCTACACATAAATTCCATCGTAGGTGAGTCTACATTTATCAGAGCAATAAATAAGGGCTGCTAAATATTTACTAAGTAGCACAAATTCATTTAGCCGGGGTTGGAGAATCACGAAGAAGAGGAACCTCCCTCTTGAGAAATGATGGTAAGGCAAAGGCAGCTGCGTGCATCTGTCGAGTAAAAAGCAAAAAAATTATTGAGAGTACATAAATTCAACTGTGTTCTACTACATGAACAAATGCAAACTTGCCGCAGTTATGGGGTTTGACCTGACAAAAGCCATGACCATCTTCTTGGGAGTACCAAACCAACAAAAATTAAACAATGAGGCCAACTGGCCAAGGGAAGGTGTTCTTCATTTGACTAAGCCAAATCTAATTAGGCTGATACTAATATCATTTTCATATTCGCTTCCGACAAAACAGTATGTCATGTTTAGAAGCTTCCCCCAAAGAGGCAGAGAGACCCAAGGGCAGCTTAGTGATTTATGTACACAACAGGTTCAAATTGTTTGCAGGAGTAACACAATGCCAATTTTGGTCCAAAACAACCGAAGATTAAATAACGAATTGATCAGTTAACAAGAGAAACCATTAACAAAAACAAACATTACCCCAAAACAAATTGAAAAAAATGGACAAAAATCTGGTGCAACAAAATTATTTATAATTATTTTGAAGTCAATCCAAAGAAGGTCAACGCTGTAATAATTTTATGAAACTGAGGCAATATTTCTATTAATAAAATTTAAATGCTGAGGGTTCCAAGATCAAAGTGGTTTAAGAAGCTTTAATTTTTTCCCCCCTTTTTTATTTAAGAAAAGCGTAAAAGACTTTGAGTTGAGCAAGCTATCAGGTAAGCCTAGCAATAAAAAGTGTATCACTAGTAAGCAAAAAACGTGAGGGAATGTGATTACCTCAGAGCTGTAAAACCTTAGTTCTCTTTGATGCTTGAGTGCTCCCTCTATATTTTCAATAGGATTGATAGGATGAATAAAATCCACAGGTGGTCCCTCCGTTGAGCATATCAAAAATCCAATTACACCACTGTATACACAATATAGAAATCATTGTCAAATAAGAATGAAATCATGTCACCTGATTGAGCAGGATACTAAACTGTGGCAAAAAATGAGACACTGTAATAGTTAGTTGTTATTTATGTTAAGATGCAGCAAGCTAGATGCTCCATAGAATCAAACTATAAGAGAGATGAAAAACCCACAGAAATGTTTGCATCATAGGAAATTAAGGTGATGAATGCATACCTTGGATATGTGGGAACACTTGTCCAAGCGTAGTGAACAGAACCCTTGAATGTTTCACGGCAAATAGAGATCATGTCATGAATAAGATGTGTGTGAAGCCACATAAAGAAGGGTTTGATGACGGTAAAGAAAGTGAGGGCGAAGTTGATGAGGCAGAGGAGCGGCTACGACAAACTATTGATGGTTGCTAAACACCAATTGATGGTGGTCAATTGTTGCTAGTTAGTTTTCATATCAAAAAGAGAAAGAGAAGAAGGAATGAGTTTTTACATGCAAAAAGACTTTTTGATCTTTACAAACACTGAGATTTAATGATGCACAAGTCCTCATCACAGGGCTTGTGAGTAATTAACCGATATATATAGTACATTCTATGCGACCTCCTTATGTTAATTCAGCAAAAACGTTTAATCACCATCTGAACGATCAAACAACAATTCCATGTAGAGTAACACACCCAGCATTACAGAACTACTGTGAAATGATATACTTAAAAGTGACTTGCACAATCCACCCGCGCAATAATTTAATCCAAGTTAGCAATAACTACAGCAATGCAGTAAAAATATAAAGAGTTCAAAACCATCATCTACCAGCAGTAGTTTACTTGGACCAAATCACCAATAACACCCTCAATCCACTGAATACAATGAGACAGTTATTAGATAATTGGTTTCATAGCAATATGATTTTTCTAGTGTTCATAATAAAGTGTTGCATCTATGCTTGCTACACATAAATTCCATCGTAGGTGAGTCTACATTTATCAGAGCAATAAATAAGGGCTGCTAAATATTTACTAAGTAGCACAAATTCATTTAGCCGGGGTTGGAGAATCACGAAGAAGAGGAACCTCCCTCTTGAGAAATGATGGTAAGGCAAAGGCAGCTGCGTGCATCTGTCGAGTAAAAAGCAAAAAAATTATTGAGAGTACATAAATTCAACTGTGTTCTACTACATGAACAAATGCAAACTTGCCGCAGTTATGGGGTTTGGACCTGACAAAAGCCATGACCATCTTCTTGGGAGTACCAAACCAACAAAAATTAAACAATGAGGCCAACTGGCCAAGGGAAGGTGTTCTTCATTTGACTAAGCCAAATCTAATTAGGCTGATACTAATATCATTTTCATATTCGCTTCCGACAAAACAGTATGTCATGTTTAGAAGCTTCCCCCAAAGAGGCAGAGAGACCCAAGGGCAGCTTAGTGATTTATGTACACAACAGGTTCAAATTGTTTGCAGGAGTAACACAATGCCAATTTTGCTCCAAAACAACCGAAGATTAAATAACGAATTGATCAGTTAACAAGAGAAACCATTAACAAAAAACAAACATTACCCCAAAACAAATTGAAAAAAATGGAAAAAAATCTGGTGCAACAAAAATTATTTATAATTATTTTGAAGTCAATCCAAAGAAGGTCAACGCTGTAATAATTTTATGAAACTGAGGCAATATTTCTATTAATAAAATTTAAATGCTGAGGGTTCCAAGATCAAAGTGGTTTAAGAAGCTTTAATTTTTTCCCCCCTTTTTTATTTAAGAAAAACGTAAAAGACTTTGAGTTGAGCAAGCTATCAGGTAAGCCTAGCAATAAAAAGTGTATCACTAGTAAGCAAAAAACGTGAGGGAATGTGATTACCTCAGAGCTGTAAAACCTTAGTTCTCTTTGATGCTTGAGTGCTCCCTCTATATTTTCAATAGGATTGATAGGATGAATAAAATCCACAGGTGGTCCCTCCGTTGAGCATATCAAAAATCCAATCACACCACTGTATACACAATATAGAAATCATTGTCAAATAAGAATGAAATCATGTCACCTGATTGAGCAGGATACTAAACTGTGGCAAAAAATGAGACACTGTAATAGTTAGTTGTTATTTATGTTAAGATGCAGCAAGCTAGATGCTCCATAGAATCAAACTATAAGAGAGATGAAAAACCCACAGAAATGTTTGCATCATAGGAAATTAAGGTGATGAATGCATACCTTGGATATGTGGGAACACTTGTCCAAGCGTAGTGAACAGAACCCTTGAATGTTTCACGGCAAATAGAGATCATGTCATGAATAAGATGTGTGTGAAGCCACATACTTTCGGCCATGTTGCATAGAACACCACCAGGCCTCAACGCTCTCGCTATCATCTCAAAAAATGACCTTTCCACAAGTTCTTGGGCAGGTCCTAAATCAAGAAAAGAATCCCAATGAGTAAACATCTTCTTACTTCATTACTTATTTTAGGATATATACCCATTTCAAGCGAGAATAGAAGTTTAAAATAGGACCCAAAAGTCGTGGCATTAAGATTGAAACGAGTAACATATACTGATATGCATTCATGTGTCTAAATTCCAAGTACCATAACGGAAAAAAGAAAAGAAAAATTAAGGGTAATTCCAATATTGTGCATAAGTGTGCATATATATATATATATATATAAATTGGCATGAAGGCAATATGAATAGAAATATGGAATGAGTTCTAAGAAAATCTTAACTTTTGAGAAAGGATTAAGAATTCCCAGAAGCTTGGAAGGGAGTACGAATATAAATATGAAATTAAGAAGCCAAAAGGATTGATGCTCTCTTTAACTTTGGAAACAAATATCATCAGCACACAAAGGATGGAAAGTAATAAGAAAATCATTTTCTCAATCAGCACCCTGTATGCCATTAGGCAAAGTTGGCAAAATTCTTGCATCAAAGTTCTAAAAATAAATGTCGAACAAACCACTCATGAATGGTATGGTTAAATTCTTGGCCAGTATAGGTTACATGATTTAAAGTAGGTTTGCAATTTCCATAAAACGAAACCTGGGATTCTGTTGCTAGAGTTAGGGCTTGGTTATAGGGTTATAGTTAGGTTAGAGATTGTTGTCCAAAGTGTTGCTATGTGAAATTGGTAGAATCAATGCAAACATCGCTTCATCACTTACACACGTATATTTGCATGAATATGTTGCATTAAGTTTAAGAAAAATGATACACAAGCCCATTTTTTAGATTCACTTTCTAAATACAATTATATGTAAGCGAGATGATTAATTGATAATTATAAAAAATATGAGAGAGAGAGACAGAGAGAGAGAGAGAGTTGCATTAGATATTTTAATAGATTGTCACATTATTGAATTTGAAAAATAGGTCTAATTTTTTGGCTTAAGTAGCATCACCCTAATTTTAATTAGGACACTCATTTTTCAAATTACAAAATTTTCCCTAGATTTGTTTATACATTGACATACACGCATTATTGAAAATAGGAAAAAATAAACATGTTAGAAAGATCTAGTTTGAAGCGCACTAGTAAAAATACTTAAGCAAGGTACAGAAGATTTTTACAAAGATCTTGCACGCTTTGCTCGAAGCTTGTCCAAATTGAATTTGAACCAAATTATTAAATGGTAAAATTTCCTTATATATTGGCCTATTAAAAATGGTACATCTCCACAATTTTGGTTTCGAAGTTTAGTCTTTCTACTGATTAACCGTTCTATCAAAAGGATGTAAAAATGATTTAGGAACCTAAGGGAATTAATATGAATGGCACTAATAGAACTTGTCTATATCTATAATACTGATCTTCTCTAATTATTATTATTAGTTGGTGAAGATTATCTCTGTATTTTAGTGCGAGCATACTTGAAGCCCAATCAAGCAACAAAAATTTCTAGAAAAGGGTATGGCATGCATGTCCACTTATTAGACAAGCAACTTGTTGAAGCTTATGGGCCTTGGCTGACTCTCTCTCTCTTTCTCTCTCTCGCTCTCTCTCTCTCTCTCTCTCTCTCAATAGCTCTCTCTCATCGATGGTTAGCAAAGGAAGTCTAGGTGGATGGATCCTAGTGGTGAAGCAAAGACGAAGGCAAGTAAATCATAACTCGTGGTCTGAAGGTCGAAGAGCAAACTTGTTTACAATTTTCATGGACAACTTGCCTGAATCCATGGCACCAATGAACCTGTATCATCTGTTCACCAAGTTTGGCGTGGTCAATGACGTCTTCATACCACAAAAGAGGAGGAAAGCAACAAACTCACGATTTGGGTTCATACGTTATGACTACTCTATTGCAGCTAATGTCACAGAATAAAAAGCAAATGGCTTGTGGGTAGATGACAAATTCCTGTCAGTCAAAATTGTAGTGTATGATAAGCTCACGGAGGCAAGGTAGCGGCTGAAACCCCCAACAACCAGACAAACAGTGGCAAGGAACACATCTGCTATGGCAACTAGCAATATCTGGAACCATGGCACTAATGGAAGGTCGTTCGCAGAAGTTATCAAAGTAGATGAACCCAGATCTACATTGAAGACAACTATCAGAGTAGAAGAGATAGGCAATGGTTGGCTTTATGAGAGCATGATTATGAGACTCTGATCAGATCATACTATTTTGCAGATGAAAAACGAACTCATCAAAAGAGGAGAGCAGAATGTGCTGGTAAGAGAAGGAGGAGGGCGAGCTGTGTTTCTCTCATTCATCTCCAAAGAAGACTTGATGAGTAAAAAGTCTATGTTTGTGGACTGGTTTCATGACTGGTGTGAGTACATCACAGTGTGGAGCCCTGGTAGGCACCTTCAGCAAGAGACACATGTTTGGATCAGCTAGTATGAGGTACACCCTAACTTATGGAACTCAAATACCTTAAGGAAGATAGGAAGACTATGGGGGGAGATGGTATTCTTAGATGGTGATGTCGGTACACCTAAATCATTTCGATCTGGCAGATTCAGAATAGTTACAAATGTTATGGATCCAATAAGTACAAGCATCAACCTAGAGTGCAAAAGAAGAGTTTATCCCATAAGAGTATTTGAAGAGCAGAGTGCAGAGGATGTTAGCACCAGCTGCAAAGAAACACCTTCTAAGGAGCCAGTTGAAGCTGCTTGCTCCAAAGTTAATGGTGCAATCCAACTCATTCAAAACAACAACTCAAATGAAGAAGATGGTGACAAGGCAGATGAAATGGTAGGAGCATTTGATGTGGCCAATGAGGTTATGACATCTAGAATGAAGGCTAGGGATGAGCTGGCTGCAGATGGCAGCTGGAGCAATGCATCAGCAGTGGCAAAGACTATAGATTACGTGGGAAATTCAAATAAAGAGGGCACATGTGTGGCTGAATCATTATTGCTAGTGGTAAGCCTACACCAGAGGTGTAATCATATTGCTCAAAAAGGTGTAGAAGAGCAGCTAGTTGTGGGCAACCTACAGTAGAGTGTAGAGTGCAATCATGGCTTTCAAAAAGGATTTTCTGTAGCCCCTTCAATAGATCAATAGATGGTCAGACTCTCACCCCAGGCTTAATCAAGAGTCTTAGTGAGCCTCTAAAGGAAACACCTGGCATTTGTATCGAGGTGGCTTTAGGTCATGATCAAACTGGGCTACAGCCCATTAAGTTAGCCCATTCGGGACTGCAGCCCATTGGACCCTCCAGTGTTGGATTAAATATTCCAGTTGTGAAGCCAATGTGCGGAGCATCAGGGGTGAGTTCACAGTCAAAGGCCAATGACACAATCAGCCCATCCATTTCAAGTTCCATCAGCAACTGTTTTAAAAAAGGTAAAAAAAAAGAAATCAGAAGTGATGGGATTAAACACTCTCTGCTTGCAGGTAGGTTCTTTGATTTGCTAAAAGAATAGGGCACAAAGGTGCAGGACCAAGCAAAGGCATCATCAGAGGAACAAGATCTAGATCATCAGATGTCCCTTCTTCATCCAACAATAATCCAGAATCAATTCAGACCTCTTCTGCAAAGGATATTCTTTAAGAGGCTCTTGCAACATTACAGGCAGGGAAAAGATTGGGTTTTGATTACAAGGGGCAGGAATCTAAGGTTAGAGGTCATCAAGAAATTCACACATAGAGAAGTAGGATAAGGAGAGATTGGTTGGAGTGACTAGTATTGTGGAATAATCAGCTTCCTAATGGGTGCAACTTGGGGTATATATGTTTCAAATGAAAACTCTAAGCTGGAATATCAGAGGTATAGGAAGGCCTGAAAAGAGAAGAAAAATCAGAAAGATTTTTTTTGATATGTTAATAGATATGGCTCTGTGTAGACACCCCATTTTTGACCGTCCTCAAGACTTGGACGTCACTGTTTGAACACTCGGTGATCATCCATGTTTGCGTTCGTCTTGAGTTCTCGAAGGTCTCGGCCACGCGCCTTGCCTCAAGACCTCTCGACTTGCCTGTTTTGTGTTTGGTTTTGCACCAAACACTTGCTGTTTTCCTTCTGAGGGTAAGGAATGGCTTGTTGGCCATCCCCACACCTCACCGGCCATGGCTTAAGGCCACTGGCCATGTTTTGTTGCCACCGGCCATTGGTCGGCCGGCACCCTTTATGGTTGGCCGACCATTGTTTTGGTCAAATTGTCGTTTTGGCTGGCCGACCACTGTACATCTGCTTTTGGCAGATATTTTATGCCAGCTGTGATAGCTGACATCCACTTTGCACCCCCTCCATACACAATTTCCCTCTTGCTTAGCTTGTTTTGTAAGCTTTGCAAGAGTGAACCTCTATAAAGGGAGGGCTTCTCCTCCCTCCTCAGGGGTTAGAAGTTGAGCTCCAGAGGTCTGGATTAGGGTTAGAAATATTGTATGTATCTATCTCTATATCTCCCTCTCTTTTTGCCTTTGTGTGTGTTTAAGTGTGTTTTGTTCTTACTTTTTTGCATAAACACCTAGTATCACACCTTACCTTCGTTGTTGAAGTGCCAAAGGGTTGTTGTTAAGGTTTTTGAGTGGATTTAAGCTTCAAAAGGCTGCTGGAGCTCCATTCTTGAAGAGGTCTACAAGGGTAAGAATCTTACCCCTTTATTTCCCATTCTTGCACTAGCTTTTAACCTATCTTGCATCTGTTTTTGAGCTTAATGTATAACATATAAATTTTTTGATTTTGTTAGTTTTAGAACTTTGTTTTAGGTTTCTTTGAGGTTTGGGGTTGTTTCCCCCCTCCAAGGCCTTGTTAGGCCTTGTTTAAGGCCATCTATTTTGGCCCTTTCTTTGAGCTTTGCATGACCTCTCTACCACTAGAATCCAAAGGATTTTCAGTGGTGGAGAGATGGTTTTGAGGTCCTAAATGGGAGAGGGTCATCCCCACTCCATATTGCCTTTGATGTTCACACAAATGGCTTGTGGTGTAGCTTGTATGCTTAGCTTTGATTAGCTTCTTTTCAATGCATATTTGTGCTTATGTTGTCATGATATAGCACTGTTTTAAGTTGGTTTAGACACACCATGCATGCCTTGCATACTTGTCTTGTAATGCCATGAAATTGCCT